GTGGGTTATTCTACGTGGGCCTGGATCTGATAGTAAAAACATGGCGGAAAAGAGGAATAATACACATTTTAATAAGGATCCAAAGTCAGAGTGTTCTGAGGGCCCCATGAAACGAAGGGGCAATCTCGTTTGCTTCTGTAGATCAAGATCCTGACATAGTCGATGTCCCTAAATTCCACCAGAAAGTCCAAAGTGATGGTCCCCCACCTGAACTAAGCATCGGAATCACCTGAGGTGGTTTAAAAAAAAACCACAGCTGTCCGAAATCTATAGGGACAAAGTGCAAATGAGTGCTTGCTTGGAGCTTGGGGGTGGGATCAGGGAATGACTGGGTACAAGGATCTCTCCGGGGTGACACAAATGTGCTAATATTGGATTGTGATGATGGTTGCACAACTCTACAATGCACTAAAAGTCATCAAATTGTACACTTAAAATGGGTAAAGTTTATGGTATGTAAATTAAACCTCAATAAAACTTTTTTTTAAAGCGAGGAACAGCTGAGCATGGTGATGCATGCCAGTAATCCCAGCACTCTGGGAGGCCGAGGCAGGAGGATTGCTTGAGGCCAGGGGTTCAAGACCAGCCTGGGCAATCAATAGGGAGACCTTATCTCTACAAAAAGTTAAAAAAAAAAAAAACAGACAAAAAAACAAGGAATATAAAGGGTAAACCATGAAAGTCATATAACTATACCTGGTTAGTGGTAGGAAAATTAGTCAGCATTATTCTTTAACTTTACAAATAATTTAAAATTTTTAAAAGCACTCGTGCATTTTTAAGTTTTTAATATAAATTTATAGGATATCACACCCAAAAGTATAGCTCCCTAGTCCCCACCCTACACACAAAGAAAATTCTAATTCACTTTCTGGGCTAAGACTGGGGTGTCTGGAACCCTTTCTAAATCGCTCAGGTCACTACAGAGCATCACCAGGTTTGAGAGTCCCTGATATAATGCCTACAGGGGAATAAAAGAAGTAAGGTACCAAGGGGCCGGGCACGGTGGCTCACGCTGTAATCCTAGTGCTCTGGGAGGCCAAGATGGGAGGATCACTTGAGATCAAGAGTTTGAGACCAGCCTGAGCAAGAGTGAGACCCCGTCTCTACAAGAAACAACAAAAAAATTAACCAGGCATGATGGCATGCACCTGTAGTCCCTCCCAGCTACTCGGGAGGCTGAGGCAGGGGGATCACTTGAGCCCAGGAGTTTGAGGTTGCTGTGAGCTAGGCTGACGCCACGCGCACTCATCTAGCCTGGGCAACAGAGCGAGACTCTGTCTCAAAAAAAAAAAAAAAAAAAAATACATGACCTGCAAGAGCTGTTATAAAGATTGGATGAGATCATTCTACATGCAAAGTGCTTCGTTAAAAGTAAGACAGGGTCTTATATTTATTTTTCCTCAAGAAGACACCCTAGCGCTTATTTTCAGGAGATGTGTTATTGTTTTTTTAAGTACATTACAACAATCTATTTATTCAAATATAGTTAAATCGTCTTCTTCTGGGACAGTGTAACTCTCCACCTGAGTTCCATCCTGAATTTCTTGCAACTCTATTCCTTTAGAACCATCGGCCCCAACTCGTTGTTGAGCACTAGAGCTGTCACGGGGCGGATGGGAAGGGCTGCTCGACTCCTTTCCCGCTCCGCGACGACACGCATGGGTTGTGCAGACGCGCTGCGCAGCCACGCCCGTCACTAGGGCTTATTTTCAGGGTAGGGCTTCTATTGCGCACATGCTTAGACATCCTGCTAGGGCTTATTTCCTGGGGAGGTCTTATTTTCGGGGAAACACGGTAGTATCCAGCACACAGAAGCAACCCTTATCTAGAGTTGTTATCTCAAAGGATGCAAATGGGTCTCGAGTGGTCTGAGGTTTGCTTACACAAATTCCAGAACTCTGATTTCTTAACCACAGCCAGATCTGTGCGAGGAATGTACTGGCTTGGGCCACGTCCACGCAGGGCCAGCTCATGTTCTGGAGCAAGCCCAATTCTAGTTTGATCTCCGCCCTAGATTTCTTCTGGAGACACGCGGCGGTGTGCAGACAAAACCACAACGCCCCGTGCTCTGCGCGGCTGGGTGAGCCCGCGGCCGGAACCACCACAACCAGAGCTGGGCTCTGCACCACGGGAACCGGGCCGGCAGGGAGGGACCCGGCCCGCGGCACCTGCCTCTGGGGCAGCTGCTTGGCAAATCTCCACGCTCCGGACAGCAAAGCGCCGGCTTTGGTATGCGGAGCCAGGAAAACAATTTTCTTGAAAATAAACAGATCCCAAGATCTGTCCGAGGTCTGGACAGATTCCTCCGAAATGCTAGCGGGCCCTGAATACAAACAGCAAGCAACTTTTTGGCTAACAACTGCAATTCAGACGCCCTCCAAAACTAACACACACACACACACACACACACACACACACACACACGTACAGGCCTCTGAAGGGTCCCAGGGGCTCTGCAAAGCAGGGAAGATGCACGTTTCGTTACAGCGCGTGACCAGCCTCAGTGTCCCCTCCGGCCACACGTGCTGAACGCTGTGGTCTCCCCAGACACGCGACACAGGTGCTCTGCCTCCTTCCTCCCGAGAGAGAAGACGTCCCTACAGTTGCACACAGGAAAATTTCCCGCTAAATTACGATTAGAGAGAGAACGCAATTTTAAAGCATTCTTTGTTATTTGTGTGTGTGTGTGTGTGTGTGTTTTCTTTTCTTCTCAGATCTGAAGACACTCCACTGGCCATGGGCTGTTGGAAAGGCTCCGTGTTAGATACCAAGTGGACAAGGTAAATCAGGCACAGACCCGCCTTCAAAGGTACTTATGCGAGTATCAGGGAAACGAGATCTGCTTTAAAAATATATATATTATATAATATATTATATATTATTTATATGATATATTTATGTATTATATATAATTATATTAATATATATAATTATATATTATAATATATAAGATAATTTTATATTATATATAATATATTATATATAAATATTATATAAATATATATTATATAAATGATGTATAATATATTTATATATTATATAATATAATATATATTTTTATATAATATATAAATAATATAATATATATTTTTATATAAATATATATATATTTAAGGTGATGACAATGATAGCAGGTGGTGGCTCATGCCTTTAATCCCAGCACTTTGGGAGGTCCAGGCAGGAGAATTGCTTGAGGCCAGGAGTTTGAGACCAGCTGGGGCAACATAGCAAGACCCTGTTACTATGAAAATTTTGTTTGTTTGTTTTTTTTTAATTATCCAGGCCGGGCGCGGTGGCTCACGCCTGAAAATCCTAGCACTCTGGGAGGCCGAGGCAAGAGGATCGCTCAAGGTCCAGAGTTCAAAACCAGCCTGAGCAAGAGCAAGACCCCGTCTCTACTATAAATAGAAAGAAATTAATTGGACAACTAAAATATATATAGAAAACATTAGCCAGGCATGGTGGATGCCTGTAGTCCCAGCTACTCAGGAAGCTGAGGCAGGAGGATCGCTTGAGCCCAGGAGTTCAAGGCTGCAGTGAGTTATGATTGCGCCATTGCGCTCCTACCTGGGTGACAGAATGAGACCCCCAACTCTAAAAGCATAGTAATAATGATGATAACAATTATTCAACTCTTACAATAACCCTAGGAGGTAGTTATTATCCCTGTTTTCCAGATAAGGAGGCTGAGTCTTATAGGCTTGCAGTGATTTTTTTCAAGGTTATATCGTTAATAACCGAACCACAACCCATTAACCATATGACTGCCACCTACAAGACATAAGAATGGCGTCTTGTAATCTCACGCCATTGCTAAATGCCAGAGACCCTGAAGACACTTTTGCTTTTTCCATTAGATCTTGATGGAGAATGACAAGCTCAGTGTTGGGAGTCAACGCACAATAAACGACCTGCCTCTCCCAAAGAGCCAGGAAACAGTCTGTGAGGGTGACAACTTCTCTCACACAAGGCCATTAACTCAACTGTGCTTTAGAAAGAATATATATAACATATCACTGGATGTTTAAAAACAGAGTTTTAGAACATGGCCCCATAGTCCACACCCCTAATATAAAATGATTATTTTTATCACTTTCTAGTTTTCTTTCACTTCATATTTAACAAAGTGGACATACTTAATATCATAGCATATGTACGATTTCATCTTTTTCTCCCTGTCACATGCTGAATTGTCTTATAATCGTAATTTACTACTTTCCCCTTTATCGTTGGCTATTTAGGCTGATGGACTGTCTTTGCTACTATAAATATTATCAAAGAGGTTCGTACATATAACATATCCAATATTTTAGATAGTTCACGTACATATAACATATCCAATATTTTAGATAGTTCACGTACATATAACATATCCAATATTTTAGATAGATCCCCTAAATGTGGTATAACTATGCCAATAATTTAAACACCTTAAAACCTATTAGAGCCTGGTGCTTTAGAAAAATAATAATTAAGGCTGGGAGCGATGGGATTACACGCCTGTCATCCTAGCACTCTGGGAAGCCGAGGTGGGAGGATCGTTCAAGGTCAGGAGTTCAAAACCAGCCTGAGCAAGAGCGAGACCCCACTCTCTACTAAAAATAGAAAGAAATTAATTGGCCATTATTTTCTATAATATATATAGAAAAAATTAGCCGGGCATGGTGGCGCATGCCTGTAGTCCCAGCTACTTGGGAGGCTGAGGCAGGAGGATCACTTGAGCCCAGGAGTTTGAGGTTGCTGTGAGCTAGGCTGACACCACAGCACTCTAGCCCGGGCAACAGAGCGAGACTCTGTCTCAAGAAACAAACAAACAAAAGCAAAACAAAAATAATAATTAAAATAAAGTGCAAGGCCTGTCGTTGCTGGGTTGCTTCCTTCCCAGGTCCAAGCCTCCGTCGCGGGTGGGCGCCCCCTACAGGTGTCCCTGGAGCCAGGGCCAGGCCCTGTGTGCTTGCGGCCGCTGCTCCGGGGAACCGGCACCACACTCACCTTCCACTCGCCCGCCGCCCTTCTGCCGGCGGTTGTGCAGGGGCAGCACCTGCAGCGCCACGATGCCCGAGGGCTCCAGGATGTTCACCTCCACCGACAGCCTCCCGGCCAGCTGCTGCGGCCGCACGCTCACCACGTGCTCGTACTTCCCCAGGCGCCGCTGCAGGAGCTCTTCGTAACTCAGGAAGAAGGCGGCTTTGTCCTTGCTGGGAATCGCCAAAGAGGCCCTGAACACCTCCGTGCCCTTCTCCCTGGCAGGAGGAACAAAGGGGCCTCAGGGAGGAGGGCTCAGAGCAGGACAGAGCCAGGTGCCTTCCCTCCGTCCCTCCCGGGGGGGCCCCGGCCACACCCTCTCCGCCGGGGTCCAGGGAGACCCGGTGTGCACGGCGGGGAGTCCTGGGAAAGGACACGTAAAAATCAGTCCTGGAAGGAGCAAAGACCGGCACGAGAGGAAGGTCGCCAAGGGTCGGAGAACACTGAATCGGAAAGACTTCAAAGACGACTGACCTCTCCACCTCTCCCCCGGGACAGGCCAAAGGGGACAATCCAAAGAGGGGACACTTTTAAGGCCCTGAACCGCTAGAAGACAGGGCTTTGCAGTCAGGGTGTGAACTGCCTTCTTCTCCCCTCTACAGGGGTGGCCGAATGAATGCCGACACTTTGCGTAACTTTCAAACAGCCGGTACGTTAGGTCTGTGCACCTGGTGAAGCTTGGTGGGTGTGTTTAGCAGGAAACGTAAAGAATAAACGCCTGCAAGGCTTTATAAAAAGGCAACCTATTCTGAACGCTTTCACCATATTCACCAAACGAATAAGCATGAGGAGTGACTGTCAGCGGGGTAAGACAATCCCAAAGGTTTCCAGAAAACTTGGGGGATTCGGTAGAGCAAGAACTCCACAGCTCAGAAGGAGTTACAGCAAAGAAGAGAGCCAACTGCAAGCCAATGCAAGCCAATGCAAGAAGGAACTGCAGCAAAGGAGAGAGCCAACGGCCTACTCTGTATCCAGCAGGACACCACCAGGTGTAAGGGACAAAGAACCAAGTCCATATATGAATGAATGACTAAGACGATGGGCTTCCTACACTCCTCTTTCCCAGAGACAACAAGTATTGAGATGGAAAAGCTTTATTGAGCACTGGGCAGAAGGAATGAAAAACTTCAGAACATCCGATAGAGAAAACATGTAAAAGGAATATTAGACCACATGAGATGCATCATCAGTGAGACTGGATGTTATAAGACATTGGAGCAATGCCTGAAGGTCAGAGTTTAGGAGTATTATTTTGACTTTACATTTCATACAGACAACCAAAATATTAATCAAGGTCTCAGAATGTTTACCTCCCATGCATCCATTCTGAGAAAGTTACTTCAGTAAACACTTCAGCCAAGTAAAGGTGAAAACCAAGGAAGAGGAAAATGCGGAATATAGAAATAACAAAAGCAACCCAGAAGAAAATGAAAAGAAACCCCCCGGGTAAAAGTTTTGCAACAAAGCTGCAAAGCAATGATGGTATTCCATGGATCTGGAGGTATTTGTGTTTTAACACTATGTTTTAACAGCTCTAAAATCCAAATGTCTTCCCAACAAGTGATGTCTTACAATATCAGGCGTGATACAGATTGTCATTGCTTACAGAAACTTGGTCATAACTGTTTGTCTTGTCATCATTTCAAATGAGTTATGTGTCTTGCTAAATGTTAATAGCGAAAAAATTAAATTTTATCTCATGAGAAAGAAGAAAGGTAATGGGAGACTCCAAGAAAAACAGAAACTTAGAAGGCATGATCTAACTAAACTAAACTATGGCATGATTCTGAATAATTGTGATAAAGACTGCTTGGGACACACCTGTAATCCAACAAAGTTAGTTCTTAATAACTGGCTACAGCAGGGAGACCACATACCAGATGGACCATGAGGCATCTCACCAAACAAAGGAAGAGACAGGGTTATTGTAGGATTGGGAGAAGACTGGAGTGGAGGTAAAAGTTAAAGGAAACAGTGATTTCGACAGGCTCAAAGCAATGCATGGCTGTGTTTAAAGCTGTTAGTATCAGCTGGACTGAGAAACAGACTCAAGGTTATGAGTCCTTAGTAACTACGACATTAAGATAAATGTGGAATTCTGTGCCTGAAACCCCCTTATCTGAAGCTCTGGACCCAGGTTGCTTTTCTGCAGCAAAGTGAACCTTTGGCTCAGGCCTTCCAGACAAGAGTGAGATGTTCCATGCTCACTAATAGGATTTCCAACAGCAAAGTTTCTGACAGTTTAAGATTTTAGAGAACTAGCTTTCTCAAAGCTATGTCCTTTTATTAACCAGGCATACAGGTTCCCATCATTTTATCCAGATTCAAAGATCACTTTTCTGCAAAGGTTATGGAGGCCTCATGTCAGGCTAATAGCGAGGGAAATGCAATCTTCGTGCACTGCATAGCTCTGCAGTTACTGTTATTTATATAGCCCTTAAAAAGCAAATGCTATTGATTGGTTTTCGATGCTTAGATTCAGTTTAGAGACAAAACAGAGAATACGAGTATTGTTGCAGATCAGAATTTAAAAGTTAATAACTCTGATAATATCAAATAAATGATAAGGTAACAAAAGACAGGCATAGGAAATGGGACAGGAGAGGCAGAGTGAAGGTTAAGAGAGGGAATATTATCATCTCAGACAGTAAAGACCACTCAAGATGGCCTCAACACTGATTAACGGATGGAAGAAAAAATAAAATAATGATACGAACATTTGGAATGCAGAGGGAAAATAAGAGTATTGTACATTTGCTAAATCCTCTTTCTCCACAGCAGAGAGACAACAGATAATGTCTTATTTTTTATTGAGAAATAAGCTCAGGTGTGATGGTGTACCCCTGTAGTCCCAGCTACTCGGGAGGCTGAGGCAGGAGGATCACTTGAGCCCAGGAGTCGGAGGTTGCTGTGAGCTGTGATGACGCCATTGCACTGTACCCAGGGAGACAGAGTGAGACCCTATCAAAAAAAAAAAAAAAAGAAAAGAAAAGAAAGAAGAAGAAAAGGGAGGGAGGGAGGAAGGGAGAAAGGAAGGAAGGAGAAAGAAAGAAAAAGAGAAAAATAATTGGAGGTAGAGAAGAGACCAAGATGAGGAGGCAGAGGGATGGCCAACATGCACCACCTTGCTCAAGTGGACTTTTAATTCCTTAATCAAACAATACTTACCCATTATCTTCTGCAGTTTTATTCCTTTTCTCTTTCACCCTGTTGCCATTCTTCTTCTCTCTCTCTGTAATTTCGCCCTGATAGACCTTGTCTCCAATAAGCCTGAAACACAAGAGACCGAGCTGGGTTACCAGCGAGCAGTTCCAACACAAACTCAGATGCGGATCTTATAACCATGGCAACCCGAGAAAATATTTTTATTTGCCTCTTGGGTAGGCTCATTTTTTGTTGTCTGCAATAGTTTTAGTTGGTCAAATTAATTCTTTTCTATTTTTAGTAGAGATGTGTCTTCGCTCCTGCTGTCAGCTGGATTCGAACTCCTGACACTCGACAATCCGACTCGCCTTCGGGCCTCGGCCAGAGCTGCCTGAGCGCAGACAGTGGCCGGGAGCCACCGGCTGGGCCGTGTGTGGGAATCGGTTACATCTTGGATCAGAAGAGGAGCAACCAGACATGCCCATGCAGTATCGTCCAGGTAGGTCTCATGTTGCCCGTCGCCAGTTCAACCTCAACCTTTCCAACAGTGACTGGCCACCTGACAAAGCGCCCTTCGTCTGACTCGTCACTTCTTAATAACGCCAGCAATTGTCGAAAGTGCTATTTCCATTTAGCTATTTGGGCTGCTTAATTTATGTGACCATGTCTCCCTGCACTGGTAATTTCTGCCAGGCAGAGCGAGCCACATGTCCCCCTTTGCCACGCGCCGAAACAGCCGCTCCACTCTGTCGCCCAGGCAGAGTGCAGTGACATCACCAGGCTCACTGACAGCCCTCAAACTCGTCCGGGGGGTCCTGGGTCCGCTAAGCGATCCTCCCTGCCTCACGCCTCCCGAGTAGCTGGAACTGAAAGCGGGCACTACCACCACCATCTAAATGTTTAAAATATGTTTTGACAGAGAATGGGTGGGTCTCAGGATGTTGGGCTCAGGCAGGGTCTTGACTTCCTGGCCCATCAGGAGATCCCCTGCCCTTGGGGCACCCCAACGTGTTGAGAATTACAGGTCCGTGAGGCCACTGCCCCAGCAAACATTGTCTTCATAGAGTTTTATCACCTACACTCTGGGAGGCAGAAGCGGGGGGGTGGATCATTTTGAGGTTTCAGGATTCAAGCGACCAGCCTGAGACAAGAGGCTGGACTCCTGTCGTCTACTAAACACCAAGAAATACTTTAGACCACTGAAAATATATAGAAAAAAGTCTAGCCGGCATGCGTGGCGGCATGGCCCTGGTAGTCCCAGCTACTCGGAGGCTGAGGCGAGATGCTTGAGCCCAGGAGTATTAGGTTGCTGTTGAGCTTGTGACTGAGCCATGGGCACTCTAGCCCTGGGGCGACAGAGCATACTA